CTCCTCCTCCTCCTCCTCCTCTTCTTCTTCTTCTTCTTCTTCTTCTTCTTCTTCTTCTTCTTTTTGGTCTTTTTTGAGACAGGGTCTCCCCAGCTGGCATGGAACTCACTATGTAGACCAGGTTAGCCTGCCTCTGCCTCTCAAGTGCTGGAATTAAAGGCATGCTCCAATGCCAGGCACACCTGCTCCCTCTTAATTCCCATAACAGCCTTGCAGGGCTGATGTTTTCATTACCATTTACTGATGAAAAAATTGAGAACTGAAGGCAGGAAGATGTCCACCCAAGGTCACACTAGGGAGGATCAGGGATTGAGACTCATTCCAAAGCTACTGGACTTCCAGGGACCTGATGCAGAGAAGTGAACCTGCACATGTCAGCAGCAAGTCCCTCTAGTTTTGTCCTGAGTCCCACCCCTTCAGAGAAGAGTCTCAAGTCAAAAGCCTCAGATACCAACTCATCCCACATCTTACCTTGATGTCCTTGTCCAAGTCCACAGAGTTGTCATCTAGGGAATTGAGGCTATGGGAAAAGTGATAGAACTTGGGTTGTTGGCAGGCCTTGTTTTCCCAAGGTGTGGCTATGGCCTACCAATATCACCATCACCACCATCATTACCATTATCAATACCATTAACATCATAATTATCATCACCATCATCGATCACCATCACCACTGTGCTGGATAGCTTTAATGTCAACTTGACACACCTGGGTTGAGGGAGCCTCAGTTGGGGAATTTCCTCTATTGGACTGGCCTGTGGCCATGTCTGAGGGGCATCTTCTTGATGAGTGATGTGGGAGGGCCCAGCCCATTGTGGGTGGTGCCACCCCTGGGCAGGTGGGCCTGTGTTGCATAAGAAAGCAGGCTGAGCAGGGGCCAGGGAAGCAAGCCAGTAAGCAGCGTTCCTCCATGGCCTGTGCTCCAGCTCCTGCCTCCAGGTTCCTGCCCTGAGTTCCTACCTTGGGCTCCCTGATGAACTGTGACCCAGGAGATGTAAGATAAATAAACCCTTTCCTCCCCAAGTTGGTAGTGGTCAGAGTGTTTTGTCACAGCAATGAAGAAACAAACTAAGACAACCACCAAATCACTGTTACCATCACCACCATTATCAGCACCACCACCATTATCCTCACCACCACCTCTGTCGCAACTACCATTGCCATCAGCTTGCCTGGTAGTGAGAGATGCTGCTTACCTGACATAGTCCAAGTCACTGGAGGAGGAGAGGCACTCCACTCCCAATTCTTCGGGGTGAAGGTTCAGCACGGGGTTGGCCCTAGGGAGAAAGCTTGGTCAAGTGGCCATAGCTCTCAGCCACCTCAGAAGTTCCCTTGCCTGCCCTTTGGCCCCTGCTCACCGCTCGGTCTTGTACATGTTAGTCCCAGGGATAGCAGCAGGTGAGGATGTCACCCCCTCAGCTGTCTTTTGGGCCTCCTTGCTAGCCTTCACAGCTCGAAGCTTCCTATTATAGCTGTTGAACCAGGAAGAAGTCACATTTGCAGCATACGCACACCAACTGTCCACTATGGCCTTGCTAATGTGGCTTTTCAAAGACCCTGGTGAGAATGTTAACTCCATTTTGCAGGGAGTAGAAGGCAGCCAGCACAGGGAAGTGCATTATCAAAGGCTACAGGGGCAGCCAGCAGTGATGCCTAGTGTCAGGAGGCTGCTGACTATGTTCTGGGAAGTGGCAACGGCACCATGTTTGAAGTGCTGGCATGTGCTAGGCATCTCCCAGCCCTTACAACCCCAGATTCATGGAGGAATCTAGTGCCTTGCCCATCACTTTTCCTTCCAGTTAAGGAAACAGGCACAAGAGGGAAGGTGATTCATCCATATGTGCCTGCCGCTTGACCCCAAGTTCTTTCTACCCACCCCACGCATGGGCAGCAGGGCCAGAAGAGAGTTGAGGGCACAGGGGGCCATGCAAATTGTACCTCTTCCGCAAACACCCAAGGGCCACAACCATGATCACTAGGACCAGCGCCAACGCCACTACCAGTCCTATGATGACACTGATGAGCTGCTTCTGCTGGTCAGAGTCCTGGCTTTCCTGGGAGCTCTGAAGAAGGAGGAGGCTGAGGAGGCTGTGGAATCCACATCCCTCCCCCATCCATGACTTCTGTCCCACCACACTCACCACCACCACCAGCCCCAGCTGCAGCAGCTGCCTCAGTGAGTCCTGGTCTTTCCGGATCATCCTGCCACAGAGCCCTGCTCAGACCCCAGAGTCACTGACCTCCCCAGGGCTTCCTGTTCCACCTACCCTTGCCTACCCTCCCCAACAGCCCTACTCACATATTCAGCTCAGTAAGCATCAGGGCTGTCCCATTGGGGAAGACAAAGTAGGCATCGAGGTAAGAGTAGGCTCGTGCCCTGGAATGGGACAGGAGATATATCAGCATCCCAGGACTACCCATAGGCCTCTCTGGCTACTGTTTATTTCCTCAGTCCAGCCAATGGGCCTGGGGACACTCACCGAGCCATAGAGTCTATGTTCTGGATAGTCACAACATACATAGTAGTCCTGGTTGCCTGGATAAGAGCCCTACATACAAAAGATACAGGTGTTACAGAAACCTGGTGTAGACAACTTAGCCCAGGACTGTGGCCAGGGCTGGGCCAGTAGAATTGGTCATGTGAGTGGAAAGGATGTGTTAGCGCTGTTGCTCAACAGGTGATGCTTCTGTACGAATTAGAAATGGGAAATCTTTTCTTCTTGGACAGTGCTCTTCTGCAGCACGGCTCTCACAACTACATGGCAGCTCTGTCCATGCCTCATTCTACCTTTGTCTAGACATGGGCTTTTGGGGTACAGGTACAGGATCAAGGACAGGGACAAGTTCAAGGACAGGTCGGGGAAGAGATGTTTCATTTAGTTCATCTCAGGGACCAGCCCCTTAGGCCCTGTTCCTCCCAAGGCCCCCTCTTGCACTTCCTAGACCTACGCTCTAATCTCCTCCATACTGGCAGCCACATCGTCCTTGGTGGTGGAAAACTGCAGCCTCACACGGTAACTCTGGTCCACAGTGAAGAGCTGTAGGAGGGGATGGGAAGATGAAGCACCAGGAATGTGGGGCTAGCAGAGGGCACTGGAGGCTGGAGGCAGAGACTGGTACTCACATTCAAGGTGATTTGGGCTTCCAGTGCAGGACCTATGTAAGGATTGTCCTTGGCTTGGACTGTCACCTGGTATGTGCCTTGTACAGTGGAATCAAGGCTGGTCCTCAGCCTATGGGAGGTAGGAAGACAGCTCTATTCTGTAACCCTAGGGTGAGGGCCCTCCCTCACCTTCCAGTGCTTCCTGCCCCACGCATCCAGGTGTTGCCAAGTTACTCGATGCTGCCAGTGAATGGGCTGGTGTCCCCTGAGGTGGAGACCTCAAAGACCTGAACAGGGGTCTTGACCCCATCATTGGAGACAAAATTCGCTTGCAGGATGTCGAATGTGACGACTCCGTTTTTTCCTGAGTCTTCGTCTGTAGCCTGGGAGCAAAAGTGGACAGTAGGGGCCAGAGCAGGATAGGTCCCTCTATCCCCAGCACTATCAGAAGCTACAGTAACTGCCCTGTATTTTATATGTATGTGTATGTTGCCTGCATGTAGGTAAGTGCACCCATGTCATGCAATGCCCTCGGAGTCAGAAGAGGCGTCGGATTCCCTGGGACTGGAGTTACAGACAGTTGTTAGCTGCCATGTGGGTGCTGGGATTTGAACCCGGGTCTTCAGCAAGAACAACCAGTGTTCTTAATGGCTGAGCCATCTCTCCAGCCCCCAGTTTTTTTATTTTTAATAGGGTCTCACTATGTAGCCCTGGCTGACCTGGAACTTGCTATGTAGACCAGGATGGCCTTGAACTTGCTGCAATTCTCAAAAGTTCACTCTGCACATCCACATTTGTACAAGTCCTTCTCCCTGTACACCAATTTAATAGATCACCACCCAAAGTCCTTATGCAAAAATCCTGCTTCAGTCCCTCCTCCCCAACTTCCATGTACATAAACACTGGCTCACAAACACAGCTCAGCTTAGGAGCACCTATTGTGTGTATCCTTATCCTTCTTTTAGAGCCCTCATTTCAGGGCTGATTAATGAGTCTACATTTCCCAGTGCACCAGATAGGAATAAGAAGACCTAAACATTTTAGTTCATTCCAGTGCCTTTCAGAGAAGGATGTAACCGTCACAGAGCTCCACATTTGAGATGAACAGCTGGGGTTCAAGTTGCAAAAAGGATTTGAATTAAAGAAAACAGTTCAGACTGGGGAGATAGCTCAGTCAGCAAAGTGTTCACCTTGTAACCATGAGGATCTTAGTTTGATCTCCAGAACCCACACAAAAAGGCCAGGTATGGGGGCTGGAGAGGTGGCTCAGCAGTTAAGAACACTGGCTACTCTTGCAGATGATCTGGGTTCAGTTCCCAACACCCACATGATAGCTAACAACCATCCATAACTCCAGTTCCAGGGGATTTGACATCTTCTTCTGACCTCCATGGGCACTGCATGGCAGGGGTGCACCTACATACATGCGGGCAATACACTCATACACATAAAATAAAATTTAAAATAGACCAGGTACAAGGTCAGGCTTGGTGGTGCATGTTTTTAATCGCAGCCCTCAGGAGGCAGAGGCCAGCCTGCTCTACAAAGCAAGTTCCAAGCCAGCCAGAGCTACATAGTAAGACCCTGTCTCAACACTTCCCACTCAAAAAACACCAGGTACAACGGCATGCGATTGTAATCCCAGAACTGGGGAGGTGGAGGCAGGTAGTTGCCAGCTGCCAGCCTAGCCTAATGTATGTACCCACTCACATATATGTATGTACCTACACAAACACATACACATACACATACACATACACATACACATACACATACACATACACATGCATGCATACACACACAAAACAATTCAAAGTCATGACATTGGAATGCAACTGGCTGACTGGAAATTAACTGTGTTAAGGATTGAAAGAACCTGGAGAGGGAAAATTGCTGTCCCCAACAGAGGCCTTATCCTGAGGGTACCTGCAAATCTGAGTGGGGAAGGCCAGGCTTTTCGAAGCCCAGGGTGTAGTCCCCAGATACTGCTGGCTCAGGAGCCACCCGCCTCTTGTCAAGAGGGAAGCTGAATCCCAGAGAGCCATGGCAATCCCTGCCCCAGGGCCTTACCCCACATGGCAAAGATGCTACTCTCTAATAACACACCCACATGTAGCATCATAACAAATTGAAAGCATTTCTATGATTTTACTCTGAAAACTATTTAACTAGAAGGAATCCATTTAATTTACAATTGGCTATGGATTCTCTATCATACTCAAGAATTCTGACATAGGAAATTCTAGCTTGCAAGTGGTATTTCTGGTCATGAAATTTTTATGAACACTAAACTGAACAATTAGTGGAATGGGAGTGCATTGATGGAGCAGGTGCTGCTGTGGCCCAGGCTTTGCATTAGCCAATGCTGAGTCTACACATTCCCTTTCTAGGGTTCAAACATCTTAGGAGCAGTTAAAAAGTCTGAAGACCTTATGCTGTCCCTTGGGACTACTATGACCGACAAAGGCTGGAGCTCAGGACTTACCTGAACAGAAGCGACCCGCTGTTTGGGCAGCACTAGCTCTGGGATGATCACTACAAACATGAGCAGGAAGGGATTAGCACAGTTGGAACAGTGCCCACCTGGCCCAGCACCCCACAAGCCAGGCTTAGAGTCCACTTCACAAGCCTGCCCTCAATCCCTCTGCCAAAGAGCCTCCATTACTATTTGGCTATTCCTGAGCCAAAAGTTCACAAGGCATCCATCTCCCATTGTACAAGTTGGGAATGGCTCAGGGCCAATCATCAGGTGAGACAGGGGTCTCCTCCTATAGCTCCAGGTGGGGTCCGTTCTTAAGGATCCATCTGTGGCATAAAGAGGGTTTGAAGTAGGTGGCTCAAGGTTCCATGATACCGGGTGTGCATGGATGTATGGGGCAAAGACAGGATGCTACTCACCAAAGGTCTGATTATCAGGCAGGAAATAGGGTTCATTGTCATTCTTGTCCTCAATGGTGATAGGGAGGCTTCCTAGGGAGGTAAGGACATGAGGCTCAAGGCTCTGGGTACAGTTCTCACCCAAAGAACCTGGATCTCATCAGGCTTTCTTCGGCCTCCTCCTCCCCAGTGCCACTCATCCCATGTCCTATCTTGCCCCTCACCCAGCTGACCTCACAGTCTTCTCTAGTAGCTGTGAGTGTTGCTCCCAGGCTTCAGGGAGGGTGAACAGCTAGTCAGAGTCATGCAAGAGTGTCAATACAGGAGTGGGCTTGATCTGTTCCAGTTGACCAGGACATTTTATACATGGACAGATGTGGTTAGGTGGCAACACACTTGGCTGACACCAGAGAGGTCCTGGGCTTGAGTCTCAATACAATTTGAATGTGTGTGTGTGTATAAATATATGTTCTTCTATATTAATGTGTAATATATATGTATTATACAAATAGTAATATAGATATGTTTTCTACAGATATATACCTATACATATTGCCACTTTTTGTGTTAGCTGGTCATTTAAAAACCTACTCTGACCTAGGAATAGTGGTATACACCTGCAAATGTCAGCACTTAGGAGGCTGAGGGAAAAGGATTATGAGTTTGAGGCCAGCCTGGACTAGAGAGTGAGACTCTGTCTCAACCAAACAACAATAAAGCCCACCCACTCTGTCCCTTGGTTACCTCATCTTTAAATTTGATTGGCATCACCTAGCTCATGGGTTGTGCAGGAATAAAATGAGCAAAGGCTTCAAGGTGGCCAGCACAGCCTGTGCTTTTCACATGGCCTCCGTTGCTGCCAACAGAGTGGGGTGAGGGCACAGCCAGCTTTCAAGTACTCTTTCTTTTGTGCTGCTTCACAAAATGGCAGTGTGAAGCAGGGGCTTCCTGGTGCCAGGCACCGCCATAAACACTATATATGGGAGCTCTCACACTCTCTACAGCCCGCCCACTGGCCAGTCCCTCTGGACATATGGAAAAAGGGAGCCTGCAGCCTGGAGAGGATGCAGCTAGGGACACAGCTGGGGAGGTCCAGAGCCAGACCTTGTGGATCCCTGCCCAGGGCTCTGTCCCCTCTCACCATTGTTGCTGTAGGCCTCAAAGCGGGAATCTGTGGTGAGGTCATGCGCCCGCACAACCAGCGTGACCAGGTGGCAGGCCTCATAGTCTATGGCTTCACTCTGGTTGATGTACACAGAACCGTTGACTGCCACAGAGAACCAGCCATGGCACAGGCTGCCCACATCAACACCAGCCTTGGTACAGATGACATTCACTAGCTCTATCTCCAGCTTTTTCGCCGTATCCACATCCTTAGGCACAATCTCAGCCACCTGGCCATACTGGGAGCCATTCTCAGCCACAGAGATACCCTGGAGTGAGGCTGCATCCAGTGTGGGAGGTTCATCATTCACATCCACCACTTTTATGGTGACATTTGCTATGATCTCATGGCCCTGGGAGCCTGAGTTCTCAGCTGTCACATTCAAACTGAGGAATATCTGTGCCTCATAATCAAGGCTTACATCTGGAAGCAACCAGAGGTTACCCCTTGCCCCCCCATATTCCAGCACAGAGCTTTGGAGCATGAAGTTGTTGGCACCAGTCCCCGACAGGCTGAAGCTGATACGGTTGTTGACATCTGTCTGGTCCGCATCCCAGGCCTCCACTGTGCCCACCAGCACTCCTGTGGACAAGGGATAGTGCTTAGAGAGGTACCAGTGCAGGTCTCAGGTCTCAGGTATTCCAGGCCAGTCCTACAATGAAGCTGTTGCCTGGGTCTTACTACTTGGTGTCAGAAGTGGAGTGTAAATAGGCCTCTGTTCCAGTGTGCACTTACCCCTGTGCTACCTCACCAAAGGACGGCACCAGCAGGATCGTCCTATATGTACCCAAGGTGCTGGGATACACATTCCCCTATCATTTGCACAGCTAAACCACGGCCCAGCCCCAAGACTCAGTGCTTGTGTCCTAACCAGCCCAGAGGGGACATACCTGGATCCCTCTCCATCACAGAGAATTGGTAGCTGGACTGGTTGAATATGGGCAGATTGTCATTGATGTCCTGCGGAGGGAGGCAGGTCTGAGTCCCAGAGACCTTAGCAGCCCAAGACTCACCCTCCCCAGAGCCATCAAAGAAGTCTCTGTACAGAACCATGGATTCTGCATCCCTCAGACAGCAGGACCCACTCTCCAGATGTGCAGACAGCCTTTGAGATAAGGCCAAGAGTCACCACCCCCCGTTCATCTGCCCTCAGCCCAGAACTCTGGTAGTCCCACCTTTCAGGATGGCTCCAAGTCCCTGTGTGACTTAACCCGAGGTCCCATATTTCAGATCCTATGATCTGTGCTCAGTCTGAGCTGGACTCTGATGCCCTCAGACACCTGGTGCTTTCTGTCCCTGCCTTCCCTCTGTATCCCTGGCTGCCAGGCACAGCTGGAGTCTTGGCAATTGCTGCCAGAGCAGAGACCATTCTGTCTCCCATGCTTTCCCCAATACTGTCATGTGCCTGGAAGATGCCCTGAGTGTTCTAGCCCTCCTTTACTGTTTACAGGCAGGTGACACCATGAATGCATGCTGATAGTCTGTTTTCTCTACCTAACTACAGAATGGGCGTCTGGGAACAAAGCACTCTCCCTGCAAAGATGTGCATCTTCTTCCTGTCTCTTCCCTCCCTTCTTTCCTTCATCCTTCTCTTTCTTCATTTCTCCCTCCCTTCTTCTTTCCTTCCTTTCTTCCTCCTGTCCTCCCCTTCCCTTTCTTCCTCCCTCTTCGCCTTCTTTCCTTCCTTTCTTCTTTCTCCTTTTCTCTTCTCCCTCCCTCTTCTCCCTCCTTCCTTCTCTTCTTTTTTTCCAAGGGTAGGGATCTCAGTGCATAGCCCAGGCTAGCCTCACACTCCTGAGTGTGTGCAGTCCTCCTGGAACTGCACAGAGGACCTCTGCCGCTGCAGTGCACGGTCTGAGGATGAATCCCCAGACATGGCATCACTGGCTCCAGGCACAAGCTGCTGAATTCTCATGCTTATTCTGTCATGCACATGAGTGGCTAAGACAGCAGCTCTGAGTCCATTCCTGCTCAGCCTCTTCTGTGGCTTTGACCTCTCTGAACTTTGGTGTCCTTACTTGAAAGTAGGATAGCCATCCCCATTTACAGTGAGGGCGTGAAACTCATGGGGGCAAAGGGACCCCACTAATTCAGTAAGTGTAGTTCTTTATTTGTCCTCTTGGTATCCCACCATATTCCCAGGGTGCTGCTTTTGTGTCTCCATTAGCCCTGAGGTCATACTCTCTGACCCTTGTAAGAAAGTGGTACACCCCAATTAGTGTCACTGAAGGCTGCTGTGTCCAGTGGTTCCTGCTGGGCACTGCACAACTCTGGGAGGGGGTTTCCACATTGTGGCCATTATAGAGGTGCATATCCATGACAACCCTTTCCAGACGAAAGTGCCTGATAGGCTGATGGCAGCCGTCAAGTCAGACCCATTCTGCAGCCCTAGGCAAGCTACAGAACCTCTCTATGCCAAGCTTGTTTTTGTTTTTACTTTTCTTTCCTCCTCTTCCTCTTCATCTTAGTTTTATTTATTTATTTATTTATTTATTTATTTATTTATTTATTTATTTATTTATTTATTTATTTATTTATTTATTTATTTATTTATTTATTTATTTATTTATTTATTTATTTATTTATTTATTTATTTATTTATTTATTTATTTATTTATTTATTTATTTATTTATTTATTTATTTATTTATTTATTTATTTATTTATTTATTTGGTATTTTGGAGACAGGGTCTCCTTGTAGCCCCAGCTGTCCTGGAACTCACTATGTAGACCAGGCTGGCCTCAAGCTCACAGAGATCCACCTGCCTCTGCCTCCCAAGTGCTGGGATTAAAGGCATGCACCACCATACCTGGCTCCTTAGTTTTATTTTTAAAGTATGTGTATGCATGTGGCATATGCGTGCATCTGCACATATGTGTACAGGTGTACTTACCTGTGTGTACACCTGTGGAGGCCAGAAACTCTTCTTCTAAGGGTCTCCCTGTATAGCCCTAGCTAATCTGGAACTCGCTATATAGACCCGACTGGCTTCTCACTCCCAGAGATCTACCTGCCTCTGCCTCCCAAGTGCTGGGACTAGAGGCAGGTACCACCATTTCTGGTGAAACAGAATCTCTTACTGAACATAGAGCTCTCCAGTAATACCTAGCATTCACCTGTCCCTGTCCCCCAGTGCTGGGGTTACAGAACACACTGCCATGCCTGGCTTTTATGTAGGTGCTAAGGATCCAAACTTAGGTCCTCATGTTTGTGCAGCAAGCATTTCACCCACTGAGCATCTCCCCAGCAACCTTGTCTGTTTTTTTATATAGGGTCTTCCATGTAGCCCAAGCTAGCTTCAAGCTTTCAATTGGCCTACCTCAGTCTCCCGAGTAATGAGATCATAGGTATGCATCACCATGCCTTGCCCTCTAACTTTCTTAATAAAATGGTGGGCACCATCCCTACCTTGCAGGACTTGGTATGCAGGCAACACAATTGGGGCCAGTTTCACCTGCTCTTGGCCTTGGTATGGGGGATAAGAGGGCTGCAGACAAGACTTTGTGAATGGCAGTCAGAGCTAAGGCACTAGATGCCTACCTGGGCAAGGTCCTCTTGACAACATTTCCATTCGTTCCTGTTGTTTTCTACTCATCTTACTGACTTAAGGGCTAGGATACTTAAGGAACTACAGAGGGCTGCCCAGATGGTGACCAGGGCTTTAAACCCCCATCCAGGTACAACATAACAACATAAGGTAGAAAGTGTAACCAATGCTGGAGTCCATGAGCCTGTGTGTGTGTGTGTGTGTGTGTGAGAGAGAGAGAGAGAGAGAGAGAGAGAGAGAGAGAGAGAGAAGCACCCTGCCTTACCTCCACATTGATGGTGACATTGACGTCAGTGCTGAGGGAAGGCACACCATAATCAGCCACACACACAGTCAGCACGATGCGACCCTCCAGGACAGGGTCAATGGCCTCTCGGTCCAGGGGCCCCTCATTCGTAAGGAGCCCTGTGTTGGAGTCTAGGGAGAAGTTGTGGCTATAGGGCCCAGGCAGCAGGCTGAAGAGCAGACGGCTGTTGTTGGTGTCTGGCTGGTCGTTGTCATAGGCCTGTGCACACAGCTAGCCTCACATCAGGTGTCAAGACCTCAGGCCCAGCCCCTCCCTCCAGCACTGATCTGGGTGACAATGGGCTGAGACCAGTGTGAGGTGGCCATTGCTCCCTGCTGAGGTGGGGCACAGCCCACAGAGGCACAGCACAGACCCCGGGGACAGGAGTCAAGGGAACCACTTCTGAGGACTGGATCCAGCAGAGGACCTAGCAGGAAGCCAGCACCCAGCAAGGTGTTATGACAGAAGCAGTTCTTCCTCTTTCCTCCCTGCTCACCCCACCATCACTGCTTTTGCTTCAGATCTGTTGGGTCTTGTTCATTAAATGCACCCTCTGGAAGCAGCCAGAGGTGTCTTTTCCAAAACCCAGGCTGTCTGATCCCACTACAATCTGTACTCAGCCGGTTAATTTGCCAAACACCTCTTTGGGCCCATGAGGATACCACAGTTATTACAGATCTAAAAGTGCTTATAGACCAGGGAGAGAAGGAGAGAGGAACAAAGGGAAGCGTGTCAGGTCTGCAGAGATCTGGGCTACAGCCCCTTACTGGCAACACAATCAGAAAGGGCACCTGACCTTTCAGGTCTGTTTTCTTCTATGAAATAGAAACTATTAGGGCATCTACTTTGCAAAATGCTGAGAGAATAGAGTGACTGGGCAAGGATGGCCTTCTGAGGACCTGGGGTCCTCTTCTCATAATACATCCTTCTGGGTCATCCTAAAGGAGAGACTATCAATTCTCAGATACCCCACACTCTTCTTTGGAGCTATGCGTGGGTTTCTAGTGTCATCCTAAGAACCTGATCATTTCAGCTTCATTTGCAGCCTGTTCCCAGCAACCATGTTCTAACTGTGCTGTTGGCTTCTACTCTGAGTTCTGGATTCTCAGACTATCTTTGGGCCCTTTAATAATGTCATTCATTTTTTGTTGTTATTTGTTCTATATTTAGACTTACTTTTTATGTAAGCCATATCAAATCTTTTTGGAATGAGTCAGGGATGTGTATATTAAAGAGCAATTTGATTTTGAAGGCCTATTCCTTGCTAGGCCTATGCAGAACACTTTAGACCCATTATCTCATTTTTCCCTAGTGACCCTGTGAATAAGTGTATTAATGTCTTCATTTTCTGAGAGGAAGCAGATGCCCAGAGAAGCTGGGTGACTTCCTTAGGGCCACGCAACAGAGTTCAGACCTCATACAGGGCCAGCATAGTCCCTTCTCCCTCCTCCTCCACCAGGTTCAAGGTGTCTCCCACCTGGATGGTCACAGAGACAGTGCCTTCCTCCTCTGTCACAAAGATATTGTAGGAGCCTTGGACCTCAGGCGCATTGTCATTGATGTCCAGCAGGGTGATCTTCAGTGTGGTGGAGGCCGACTGGTTCCCACTGTCTGTGGCTTGCAGTGTAAGGTAGTACACAGCCTGCTTCTCCCGGTCCAGCAGCGAGCCATTTTTCACCTTCACTGTCCCTGAGTTTGGATCCACCTCAAACAGGTCTTCTCTGCTCGGGGTGGTCAGAGTTAGCCAATAAAACAACAGAAGTGCACTTACATTTGCATTTCAGATAAACAGCAACACATACTTGGGAACATGTCATGCAGTATTTCCAACATACTATGGCTGTGGCTTCATGTATAGGTATGCCCTAAAGCCTGTTCAGGTGCTGGACAATTGGTCCACAATGTGTGATGTTTGGAGGTACAGAGGCCTCTAAAAGGTGAGGTTTATTGTGACTTTGTTACTCACCCGTTTCCTCCCTCTGGCTTCCTGTCTTGTCATGTGATCTCTCCTTCTCAGACAGGGTTCCATCATGTAACTCAATGTACTATGAAGTCCTCACAGGACACAGCTGATAGCATCCCATGCTTTGAGTCTTAAGAACTAAATGAACCTTTTCTCTTTATAAAGTACCCTGCCTCAGGTATTTTGTAGTAATAATGGAAAAACAATCATTTTAAAAAAATTGTTCTCCTGGAGTGAACATGTAACTGAGCATCTGTAATTGTGCAGACTACCCTAGTTCCATGGGGGAGGCAGCTTACCCATTTCCTGAGAGTAGGCTGTAAGTGATGTGGCCCCACTTGCCCTTATCTTCGTCTACTGCCTGTGAGGTAGAGATGGTGGAATATTGGAGACAAGGCACCTGCTGTATCATGCAACTCCTGGAACAGGGCCATTACCTATTGACTCTAAAGGGTCACCACAGACATCTGCACTCACACATAGCTGTCTCACACATCCAGATATACTCATACATGTGTGCACACTTGCAGGGACTTGGTCATTCAGATGAAACAAAGACTGTAGCAGGGAGCAGTCCTAGGTCAGCCCTTTTCTGCATCTCCCTCCCAGCATGATCCAGCCACATCCCGTGTCACTCACATGAATGCTGCTGGTGACCTCAAAGCCTGTGGGACTGTGCTCTGGCACACTGAGTTCATACGAGCTCTCAGGGAATGTGGGCCTATGGTCATTAATGTCTGTAAGGTAGATGGTCACCATGGCAACAGAGAAGTTCTTGCTAACAAAGTCGGCAGCCACAACCTGAGGACAGAAAAACAGGTGGCAATAGAGGGGACTGGGTTCCTGGGGCCTCTGTCCCTCAGCACCCTGGCACACTGCACCTGCACATGCAGCGTGGGCGACTTCTCGTAGTCCACCAGCTCCGAGTTTCTCACCAGCACCTGCACGTCGGCAGACCCTGCCGCTAGCCCTGGGGACACACTGAAGGCTTCAGCATCGGGGCCCTCCAGGGACAGCAGGAAGGTACCATTGTTGCCCTATAAAGGAGAGTGGTATAGTACAAATCAACCCTCTCCAATCACCCACCTATGTCTTCCCCCTGATCCTCACCCTTGGGCCCTGTTTCGGAAGTCCTGCCCAGTGAGGCCTGCAGAGCAGGTCAGAAAAGACTAAGACAATCAGCCAGGCCCAGGAAATGTGGCCTCATCCAGTGAGGACTGCCTTAGACACTGTGGGTCCCAGGTCAGGAGAGACAGAACTACAACCTCCATCACTTTAAAACATTCCTTCCCGTCAACCTTCCTTGCCTGCCAACCACTTACCACCCACAACCACACCAGCCATCAGCTCAGCACACCCATCAACCTGGGTATCCTTAGTGAGCATCCTCCACTCAACTCCACATCATCTAACCCCACCAAAGTGTGGTCCTTACTCACCACTCAGTACCAGCCTCCATGGAGGGTCTTTCCCAGCTCACTCACTCACTCAGATTACTCTAAACACAACACTGCCCAGCCTCCTCCAACATTCCTACTCCCCAAAATCATGGGCCACCCAGAGTCAACAGCACCAAAATTACAACTGTTCACCATTGCCTAGCACCGAACACCAACCTCCACTCTACACGGCTTCTGCTCAGAATTACCAAGTATTACCCCTTGAACACAATGTCACCCACACAGACAAACAGCACCCAACAACTTCCATTTTGTGCAATTCACAGATCCACACCGCCATCATCCATGACCAGCATATCCCTGCCTTCATTCTCCAGGACTCACACTCATCTTCCTGAAATGTGCTCTGTCATCTACTAGCAACCTCAACCCCAGCTATCACCCACCCTATTCCCCTGCTCCCACCCTGCTACCTTCTCCTGCCTGTACCCATTCCCCTCTCCCATCTCTCCGCCATCAGTACTCCCCACTGTGGCCCCTCCCATGCTCCTGCCTGGTCTGGGTCGTAGACAACCATAGTCAGGTCATCGATGGGGATGCGAGCAGAGGCGTGCTCATCCACGTAGCCTGTGAAGTTGACTTGGGCCTCTTGGGGGCCGAAGAGGCATTCTTGGAGGCTGCAGTTGTAAAACTCTGGCTTGTGGTCGTTGACGTCAGTCACCTTGATTGTGACCCATATACTTACGTTGGCCTCTTGCCCGTAGATATTGAGGTTCTTCTCAGTGGCCTGAGGTATGAAGCAGAGGCCAGAGACCAGTGTTCAGCAAGGGTGGGATCTAAGGTGGGAGGTTAGAGAATAGAGGAGCTGCACTCACCGTGACCTGTAGTTGCACCTCCTCATTCTCCTCCAGCAGCTGCTCTCGGTCCAGGGGGCTGCTGACAGTGATAATCCCCTCTGCCTCGATGTCGAACCACCCGGGCCTCGTTGAGCCTGACAGGGAGGCACTTGGAACAGCTGTTTCCAACTCCAATGACCCCACCCCTCCCTTACCCCAGCCCCTGCTAGGGGACACCCTGGTTCTCACTGGAGATGCTGTAGGTCACAGAGTCACCAATGCCTTTGTCACTATCCACAGCTTCCACCTTTACCACGGAGGTGTTCTGGGAGGAGAATCCATCAGTGTTTTGACCTTTTGCTCTGCCACCTGCCTCTACCCAGCAGCCTCAGGTTCCCCAGTATTTACCAAGGGTACATCCTCAGCCACAGAGGCTGAGTAAAATTCCCTGACAAACTGGGGGTCCAGATCTGGCTGATCAACCACGGAGATGGACAGGTAGACCACCCGGGAGCATTGCTTGACGAATTTACCATTCAACATACCACCTAAGTCCTGCAGGGAAAGGGTCTCCTGTGAGCCAGGGCCACGACTCCCACCCCCACCCCCATCCTAGCCTGGACCCCCACTCACGCAGGCCCTCAGTTCCAGCTGGTAGAAGGCACTCTTGTTATTGTAGCTGAGGCTGCCATTCAACACGATGGAGCCATCGTCCAGCATGTAGAAGAGATACTTGTTGTCCAAGGAGTTGGGGATGACCTACAGCAGAGGATACCCGGGTCAGGCTCACTTGGGACAGTACTGTCCCTCACTCTGCCCTTCTCTGAGACACATGGGGTCGAATCCTGGCTCTACCATTGGCCAGCTATGCAATCTTTTTGGAGCCTCTTGATCTCTCTGAGCCTCAGTTTCTCCCCTTGGGAAATAGGCCTGTTGCAATCACCTCAGTGGGCTATAAGGAAGTTTCCACAAGGTCATAGATGTGCCAGGATGTAGTTGGTGCTCAAGAAATAGAGTGACTCCTAGCAAAGCTGCCTTCACAAAAACTCACAGACTTGATTGTCTGAGTATGGTTGGGTAAGACACAGGCCTTCTATGGGTCTTACATCTCTTCTGGGAAGCTGGGAATGCATTAGCAGCCAGGTGATGACGTGGTAGCTTTCATCAGAGCCTACTCAGGGCAGCTGCAGGGGATGGGAGGGAGGATTGGACCCTCCTTCAGCAACTGGGCAAAGGTGAGAGTTCCGTGGGAATAGAGTGGAAAGTGGGAGGAAGACTTGGGGACCGGAGTCATGGTTGTCTGTGAAGATTCTGCCCCCTGGTGGCGGTGAGGCACAGAAAGAGCTGGCTCCACACCTGCTTCCAGAGAGCCTTTATACACACCTCCTCTATTTGGTACTGCACCATACCCGCTTGCCCAGTGTCCTTGTCCTCAGCCCGCACAGAGAACACCACGGAGCCGACTGGCAGGGTCTGTAAGAAGGAACTTGTCATCTATGTGCTCAAACCTACCTCCACTCCCAAACTTTGGTTTCCTCAACTGTACCACAGACTGATGTGCCTGTCCCACGACATGCTTCAGGGAAGGCATTTGAGGGGTGAGGTAGGACAAACAGCAGGACCCCTTTCCCCTCAAGAACCCTGCTCTAGAAACTCCTCTCCCTAAACAACCTCATACTGCCAGCGCTACTTTATAGAGGAGTCTCTCTCAAAACCAGAAGTGAGAGAACAGTCTAGAACCGGGCCTGACTGTGCTGCTCCCCCGTTCAAATAAACTTGTGGGTTCTCTTTAATTCGGGTTGGGTTTTGGTTTTGGGACAGGGTCTCCCTGTAGCCCCAGGTGGCCTGAAACTCGCCATGTAGACCAGGCTGGCCTCGATCTCACAGAGATCTTCCTGCCTCTGCCTCTAAATGCTGGGATTAAAGGAATGCACCAACCATACCCGGCTCAGCTTAGGTTTTGAACCACACCTGCAGAGCTTCTGGGTCCCTGCTTGCACCCTCTTGACTTTCAGATGGCAGTCGAAGATAATCTTTTATATCATTAAGACTTCCAGACTCAACTTCTAAAAGTTCCCATTCTGCCCACAATATGGTCCAGACAGTTTCTGTGGCCCTCAAAGGGCAAAGCTTCATCTTCATCAAGCTCCACACCTCTGAAATCACCCTGCCTGGTCTGTTTTGTCCTTCTCATTTGTGCTTTTCTCTAGACTGGGAGCCCCTGACCATCACAACCAGGAAAGTCTTACTCCCTGTGTGGCTTGAGACTGACAGCAGTACCTGTCATATGGTGCTGAGCAGAACCTATCAGGTGACCTTAGACTTGACCCCCCACTTCAGAGGTATTCACAGCCATGGCGTTTTGAAGATTCTGGGATAATGCATTTGTTAGTCAAATGCAAGCACTGGGGGAACCTCTTCCTGATCACGGAGTTAAGACAGACTGCCCCTCAGCTGAGGATGAGCCCTCAGGCACAGATCAGCCATTCCAGACCTCTAAATTGATTCTAGGATAAACATATGACCAAAGTGAGCCAATGAAGGCCAGCCCTCTGCTGGTCGGAACTGCCGAGAGTCTCTGCTGAAGAAGCCAAGGCAACGGGATGTTAGCCCAAAGCCCTCAGGACAGAGGCAGCCAGAAAAGCAGACATGACAGGCAGAGGGAGACGCCCCATGACGGTCTGAGCACCCAGACCCAGCTATGCCCAAGGCAGAGGTACCCTAAGCATTGCAGGTACTTTTTCTACCATAACTCAAAGACTCCCAGTCCAATCTGGTTGCTCGTAAAACACTGTAGCTCATGTGATTGTATCACTTCCTGATGTGGGTGCCCTGCTCAGTGGTGCTGTGGGAAGTCCTCCCCATGACCTGGCCCAGGAAGGCCTAGGGGTACCTCATTGATGGTGGTGGAGAACATGGTGTCCCGGAAAACGGGTGCATTGTCGTTTCTGTCTTCCACAATCACGTTCATTTCCCTTTGTCCCTGCGGGTAAGAAATCCCAGGTGAGCCCGGAAAATGTGATTTAAGATATGGGAAGAGTTTCAGGGACAGCGCACAGAACTCCTGATACCTTACTTCTAGATGTACCCCCCCCCATGCATGTGTGTGTGTGTGTGTGTGTGTGTGTGTACTTAGGTTTTCTAAACTACTTGAAAGTGAGGTTGCCGGCATCCAGTTTTTTCATCTGCAGTGTTCTGGTTCTGTAAAGTAAACATGCGGTTTAGCTTTCTTACCATAATATAAACTGTGACCAACCTAAGTGCCTAGCTAAAGGACTGTGGTGTGTTCCCATGCAGGAAACAGACATTACAAAAACAGAAGGAGATGGCTGTCCTGTACCATGTGATGTTCTGTGCCACCTTGGGACTGTGTCAGCAAGAAATTCACCACAATAAGTTAAAGGGGAGGCCTCAGAAGCTCTACAGTGGTGAGGTGTTTGGCACTTGTTTTAAAATGATTATTTACATTAATATAAACTAATACTGTCATTTTATATTTGTAGCAATATACAAGTGTAGTATATTTATATATACTTGTTAATGGACAGTTAATGGACACTCAGCTCTTGGTCCTATTGTGACAAGATGGACACATCATTTGGATAAGAATCAACAGTGAGCTGGGCTTAGTGGCACACGTCTTTAATCCCAACACTTGGGAGGCAGAGGCAGGTGGATCTCTATGAGTTCAAGTTGAAGGCCAGCCTGGTCAACATACTGAGTTCTAGGTCAGCTGGGGCTACAGGGAGACCCTGTCTCAAATGACAAAAAAAAAAAAAAGAAAAGAAAAGAAAAGAAAAGAAAGAAAGACTCATCATTGAACTTATTACTAACTGGAGTACTCTCTGCTTGCTTGAGATGGACACATGGTCAAGATGTCAAGATGGACACTTGGGACCCTGCTCATTCCACCCCTGACACCCCTGATTGCCCTTCCCTCCCTCCTTCCAACTTACCAGGCTGTTGTAACTGTCCTTTACGGAGATAGTGATCGGAAAAAAGGAGAGTGTCTGCAGCAGCAGAAAGAAGGGGGGGTCCCTGCTCAGTATAGGGTCCAGCTGTGCCCCCAGGACACTGGCTCCCAGGGCTACATCTGCCCTCTCCATCATCCGGGCCCTTCCTACCTCACCACTCTTTACCTCATAGTCCAGAGTGCTGTCCAGCTTCACTTCCCCAGTGTCTGAGGTGACAGAGAAGAAGTAGGCATTGGAGCCACTAATCCCATAGGTGAGGGGGTAATTATCACTTTCAGCCACCAACCAGAAGGCCACAGCACCTGCAAATGAACAGGGCTGCCTCAGGGCCATGGCCACTTCTTTCAGGGTAGTCTGGCTGGCTACCCATGAGGCAGAACTGGGAACATGGCGGCAGCTACTTAGAACTGCATCCCATTTTGGTAGCAGTATCTAATTTCCTATGGTGCAATTGCTATTGCACATGGTGCACATGGTGCAAGACATAGTGCAACATGTCTTGAAGTTGTCCACCTTGGCCAGACCTGAGCACTGCCCTCCTTGCTGGGCACTGGGTTTCACTGAGACTAGATATTCACAAAGCTAGAGTTCTGTGGGAGAAATATTCTTGGCTGGAAGGCACACTATTACTTTAATGACTGCTCTTTTGGATGTTTTCTCATTTTCCGAGGAAAAAAGAACCATAATAAATGACTGTTGAAATGCTAAGATACTTTCTGATGAGGAAATGCTAAGATACTAGAAGATGTGGGTCTTACACCTAAGGAAACGTGGGAGGAAAACTGGAAGCCGGAATCCTGTCTCACCAACAGCAAGCCGTCCATCCTCCAGGTCCTCAGAATCAAACAATCACAAAATGACTATCAAAAAGCCTTAGTATGGGGCTGGAGAGATGGTCAGAGGTTAAGAGCACTGGCTGTTCCTGCAGAGGACCTAGGTTCAGTTCCCAGCACCCACATGGCAACTAATAACCATGTGTGACTCCCGTTCCAGAAGACTGAACACCTTCTTCTGGCCTCCGGAACACTGCATGCAAGGGCGAGTTATATACATGCAGGCAACACACATACATATAAAATAAAAATAATTAAATATGGGGCTGGAGAAATGACTCAGCAGTTAAGAGCACTGACTGCTTTTGCAGAAGACCCAGGTTCGATTCCCAGCACCTACATGGCAGCTAACAACCATCTATAACTCTAGTTCCACGGAATCCAACGCCTTCTTCTGACCTCTGTGGGCATGGCACGACATGGGTACACTAATATACATGCAGGCAATACATTCATACACATAAAATTTTTTAAATGGATTTTTTAAGCTTTAGTATCCAAGGAGATGGGTTTCAGCCCCCCCACGCCAAAATCCACAGGTGCTCAAGGCCCATATCTAAAGTGATAGAGTGTTTGTAGGATCCAGATACACGCCCACTTTAAATTCCCTCTAGATGACCCTAACACTGAATACAGTGCAAATAGTTGGTTTATGAAATAATGACAAGAAAAAAGTCAGTACCACTTTTTTCCCCAAGTGTTTTCTGCGCACAGAGGGTTGAACCTGGGATACGAAAGCGTAGGTATAACTGTACACGGGATCATTCGGTGCACACTCCCCAAACGAAAAGTCTGTGCTTCCAATCAGTAAACCTAGCATGCATGCATTTTTATGGACTGAAAAGTGTTCTCCTGTCGTAGACAGCTGCAGCTTTAGTCTCAGAAGGTGGAGACAGACTGCTCTCTTGCTTAAGGAAGCCTGGAGAAGCCCCTCATTTGCTGACTGAGAGAAAGGAGGCGCCTACTAAAGTCAGTTCTCTCCTTCCACCACGCAGATCCCAGGGAGTCAACTCAAGGCATCAAGCAACAAGTGCCTTTACCTGCTGAGCCATCTTTGTGGGCTAGTGAGGGGGGTTGGATAGGCACAGGGGTGAAAAGCCAACAGCAGGACACCATGTGGCCACTCACAGTGACAGGCACAAGACCACCCAAAATCAGCTGGGGCCAACAGAACCTAAGGAAGCAAGTGCAAACTGACCTGTGTCACCTCAAGGACACCCTCCTGTCACAGGCCTTGCAGAATTTATGGCTCTTGCCATGCCCAGCTGCAGGCCACATCCGAAAGGTATCAGGACAGACAGGAAAAACCATCCTGGAATCTTCCCACCCTATCAGCTTATGAATTATCTCCCTCCCCACCCCCACCTGCATTAAATTACCCATAAAACAAGTTCCCCAGAGCCAGGTGTGGTGATACACACCTTTAATCCCAGCACTTGAGAGGCAGAAGCAGGAGGGTCTCTGTAAGTTTCAGGCTAGCTGAGGCTACAGGGAGACACTGTCTCAAAAAGACAACAAACAAACAAACAAAAAACTCACAAAGACTTAGCTATCTGAGGGAAAGTGGTTTATACAAAGATCTACAAGAACTCTGAAAACAAATAATAAACCTGAACTAAGAGATTAAGGCATCACAGGGAAAGATTTTTGAGCTGAGTGTTGAAGGATGTATAAGGTTTATCATGTTGGGATAGAATAGTGGAGAGGCAGAAAGGTATTAGGTAAACCAACATTAGCAACTGGTAGCCAATAATATTTCTCTCCTCTTGGACCTCTATTTGGCAGAGCACAGTGTCTTTTATTCTGTTTTTCAGTGCTCAGTTATGTCTTTATGAAGAAATTACATGAAGAATGACTATCCAGAGCTGTTACAGCAATATTCACTCAAAAACACCTAAGCTCCCCAGGACCCAGGGTTGAGTCTCTCACTAGAGAAGCCCTTACTCATTTACCCCCTTAATAATAAACTTTGCCTTATAACAAACTTCTTCACAGTTCCTCGTTTTGCTCTATCAGAATGCTATCTGAAGGGGTAGAAGACCCTGGAAACACAGGGCAGGGGCAGCCAACTCTGTCTTTGAGCTCTCCCCAGCCTTTACCACCAGCAACAGAGGATATCCGCGTTACATATATTTGTGACGCTTGTTTTGAGATTGTGTATGTCTGTTTTTATATAGAACTGAGTAGTTATGAAGATATGAAAATATTGTTAATGTGCATAGCAAATACTTTAACCTGAGTCCAATGCACCAGAGTAGCCTATGCTGCTTCCTTACAATGCAATAAAACTACCATCTCCCTCTTTCTGTACTCTAAACCTTTGGTAATACAACCCTGTAGTAGACTCTAACAGTCCCAGTATTCATAACCAAATGAATAAGGCTTCACAGCTGCAGAGCCACCTCCCTCCTTTCCCCCCCACTCTGCATTGAGGTCAGACCCTGTCTTTCACTTACTTTGCTGGTGTCTATTGTGTCATCTGTTGAGACATTTCAAATCCTAATTCTGACTCTGACAAGAACTGTGGATTGTCCTATAGTATCCAGACCTTGGACCCTGTTCTTATGAGAAAAGGACAAGCTCTTTTGCCTCTGTACTTTCATTGGCTGGAGTAGGGTGTCACAGAGCCACCCAGGGCCACAGGGTGGGATGGGGTGCCACACCCTAAGGAAAACCTAAGATTTGAGGTGGATGAAGGCCTGACACAAGACGTTCCCTAGAGGAGGGGACAGCCCAACAGAAGACCCTCCAACAGTTCTGGACAAGTGATATATCTTAATGTTACAGGGTCTCAGTGGACACAGGCACCATTGCATACTTTCTCTGCAATCTGGGATTCAGTATCTAGTTCCCCTGCCTCCATGTAAGCTACAGATTCACAAATTCTACCCCTTCCTGCGTAGCCAATGCGAGTTCATTCCTACCTGTCCCTCCAGTAAGATCTTCTCCATGCACACTTGTTAGTGATGGGTTTTTGTTTATTTTCCAGGACAGGATCTCTCTGTGTTGCTGAGGCTAACCTCTAACTCCTGGGCTCAAGCAATCTTTCTGCCTCAGTCTCCTACCTAGCTGGGACTACAGGTACACACCTCTGCACCAGCTTGATTATTCTTTGAACCGACTTACTAATTCATGTAAAAGTATATTTATTTTAAAGCCAAAACTTCAAGCTGGGTATGGTGGCACATGCCCAGCACTCAGGAGATAGAAAAAGAATCAAAAGTTCAAGGCCATCCTTGGCTACACAGCAAGTTCAAAGCCAGCCTGGGATACCTGAGACTCTGTCTCAAAAGTAAATAAATAAAATAATTTTAAAGTAAATAAATAAACTTTAGGTCCACTGCCAAAAGTGACATTCCTCTTGCTTACCAGAAATATATAATAGCTATGAAAAAGACAGTAACAGCAAAACAAATTTATTAATGTGGCAAGACCTGTCTTGTCTGAGAAAGGCCTTTGACCCTCTGTTAAAAAAAATAAAAAAAAATAAGAGCCCAGCGTGGTGCCTTTAATCCCAACACTTGGGAGGCAGAGGCTGACGGATCTCTGTGAGTTCAAGGCCAGCCTGGTCTACATAGTGAGTTCCAGGTCAGCTGAAGGGAAACCCTGTCTCAAAAAGACAAAAAAAATCAATCAATCAATCAATCAATCAATCAATCAATCAATCAGGATGTGGAGGGAGATCAGCAAGGGAAAGAAGGGTAAGCTGTATGGGGAAGTCAGAAAGGCTGGGGAAGTTGAGAAGGAATGAGCACTGAGCAGGTGTGGGGGGTCCTGGCTGTGCACCTCATACCACACCACCAAGTCATTGCTCCTAGCCCAAAAACTGTGGAGGAGGAAACACTTTCCAGAGCCCCTGCTCCCTCTAGGATATGCCATGGAGCTAGGCACTTGAGGGAGTCTCTATGGCTACACTGGGCTAAATGCTCTGCTCTGCCCCAGCACAGGGACAATCACTCACCCACTGGTAGGTCCTCTGGCAGTTTCACTGCTGTCATGTTCTCTAAGAACTGTGGAGGCCTGTTGGCTGTCACTGTAAGAACACAAAGCAGGAGACATTGAAAACCCTGCACCCCACGACCTGTTGCTCCCTCATGTACCCATCCTGATCCTTATAGCCAGTGTTTAGCCCAGTCTACCCACCTAGACCTGGACTCTTCCCCAGTCCTCCCAGGGCCTGCTCAGGGTGGGCCATTCAAGCTGGACACTTGCTAATGAGGGCTGTCCCCCCACAAGGTTCTGCTGGGGTCCCCAGTTTAGCGCTGCTCTTATAGGAGAAGGAGCCACCTACCAGGCACCATGAGGACAGGAAGCAGGACACAGAGCCACCACAGCTGGGCCATCGTGGAGGGACCTAGGGTAAAAGTGCCAGGGAGACGTGCCTGGGCCCAGCCTTCCTCCTGGCAGAGCCCCAGGGCCTAGGTCTACCAGTGACCTTCACTCAGTAGCTCTCTGCCAGAGCCCCCATCACCCTCTGTTGATCTTCCATAGGGGAGCCAGGAGATGTACATTTGGCTCCAGAATTCAGCACCCACTGTGTGCCAGGTGCTGCTCTAAGTGTCTTGGGTAAGTAGCCACCTTATAGGATCCTGTAAGCACTGGGAACCTGTTGAGCACCTGGCTGAGTCATCAGAATGCCTGAGGCCATCCAGAGAACAGTGACAAGACATGCTTTGAACACAGGTCTTTTGGGCTGGAGAGATGGCTCAGAGGTTAAGGGCACTGGCTGCTCTTGCAGAAGATCCAGGTTTGGTTTCTAGCACCCACATGGTGACTAACAATCATCTGTAACTCTAGTACCAGGGAATCCAATGCCCTCTTCTGGCCTCCATGGGCATTGCACACACATTGTACACAAAACAGGCAAAACATTCACATATATTAAAAAAAATTTTTTAAATTGAACACAGGTCTTTTGACTCCAGAATTCATATCTACCACCCCTCTTCCTTGCATGTCTTAAGGCCACCCAATAGAATCATTCAGAATCAAGAGCTACCTTCCCCATCAAGTGCATAGCAGATGTCCTCTATCACACACTCAGGGATCCATCCCTTCATGTCTCTGCTCCAGACTGCCACATTCAGCTTGTCCCTTCTCCAATCTACTCCATGGGGCCACGGCAGCCACCTCCCCCTCCCAGGTTTTATGTCATCAGCCTTCTCAAGGACTCCCTCCCTCCAACTCTAACCTACTCCCTGCTCTCAAGGAATCTCATCATGACCTCTGTCCTTGCTTAAAGCCCTGTGATGGCTCCTACTTGCCAGAATCAAAACCTCATAACGCCAGGCATAGTGGCACTCAGGAGGAATGGGCAAGCGGATCTCTGTGAGTTCAAGGCCAGCCTGGTCTACATAGTGAGTTCCAGGCTAGCTGGGACTACAGGGAGACCCTGTCTCAAAAAGACAAAAACAGCAACAGCAAGAAAAACTCCATAACAAGGGCTTCTCAGACTCTCAGAGACCATCAGTGATCTCCAGCCTCGTCTCTAACCCTGCCACAGGCCACCTTGCCTTCTGCATGCCCAGGTCCCACTTTCCCAGCTATTTGTCCTGCCTGATTGCCTGGTGATCCCCAGGGCCACTTTCTGTCCCAACACCCTTCAGGGCTTCCTGGGAGGAACAAACTTCTCCCATCCTTTCTGAAACGAGCTGATGAACTCTGGGCCTCCAACGTCTAATGTGGAGCTCAGTACCTGGGAGCCTGGCTACAAAGACACTATGGTAGCCCCTCTCGGCCTTGACTGCCCTGGAGGGAACTGTGCTGGCCTCTATATCACAGTTCTGGCTCACAGTAAGCATATAGTAAAGGTTAATGACTATTAAGTGTAGGAAAAGAAAGCTCATCTCAGGGCTGGAGAGATGGCTCAGCAGTTAAGCGCACTGGCTGCTCTTGCAGAAGATCTGGGTTCCCAACACCCACATGGCAACTGTCCATAACTCCAGTTCCAGAGGATCCAACACCTCTTTTGACCTCCATGGACATTTCATGACACAGGTCCATTTACATATATGCAGTCAAAACACACATAATATAAAAATAAATCAAAAAAGAAGAAAGAAAAAGAAAAAAAGAAAGAAAAGAAAGCTTATCTTCTGTCCCCTCACTATTGGCATCCCCATCCTGGTCCCTCTGTTCCCCCAAACTCTGCCATGGCTGACTCCCTCTCAAGGTCCCCTTGACAGTCAGAGACCCACCTCTTTGACTGCCCACCTGCTCGGAAGGCCCAGCACAAGCCTTCAGTTCTAACTCACATTGATCTTGCCTCAGTTTTCCCCAACCTGATGGGAAACACTGGGGTCAGGGGCTGGTTGTTTTAAATATCTGCTGACATATCCTGAGTACTTGCTACAGGGTGAGTACCCGAACTGACTTCCTTATTCCCTCCACAGGTACTGGCACCCACCCACCCACCATGTGCTAGACCTTATCCCCAGGCCTGGCAATGCACCAGTGAGCAGAAAAGCAGGGGTTGCCCTCGCTCAGCTGATGGCTGCCCCAATGTTTGTTGCTTACCCATTGCAAAGGGAAAGTTTAGGGGATTTCAATTTCAAAAGCATAAAAAAGAGAAAGTATTTTAGGTGGTACGTCAGATGAAGGTACACAATTTTTACATTTCTGTCTATAAGAAATGGGGATAACATCTGCTGCCCTGTAGGTCTGGCTGGCCTTGACCTTGTAGCAATCTTTCTGTCTCTGCCTCCTGAGTGTTGGCTGAACCTAGTGTGCTAGATGTGTTTTGTTTTAATTTTCTGTATTGTATATGCTTTGGCATGTTTGGGTTTATGGCTGGCCTGGAGAAAAACTGGAGAAAACTCCTAGAGACTGCAAACAATACCTTCAAACATGTTTTTCATATACAAACCAACTAATCCAGAGCCCAGAGCCCTACACGGCTCACACCAAACCCACATTTCTCCACCCAGTGCCAAGTACTTGAATGGATGGGGGACACCACTGCAGTCCACAGCCCCCTGAGATTATCCGCATTTCCAGTCCTGACCAGCTGCACTCTGGCTTCCTGTCTACCTTCCTGCCCAGAAAAACACAAGAAAGCCTCCTGTTATTTCTTTCCTCCAGCTTTCTCACCCACCAGGGCCTCCCTCACTTGGCCCTGTATGGCGTGACGTGTTCCCTCATCATGGAACAGTGAGGGACCACATTTTCTTTCAATGCTCTTAGCATCTATATCGTCACTCAGTCACCTCTGTACAGAGAGTCTAACATCCCTTGGGAACGGTGAAGACATTCAGCAAGATCCAGTGATCAACAGAACATGGCACCAGAAATACCTTCTGCCTAGGCCACAGGCTGCCTTCTGTGTCTCTTGAGCCAGGAACACCTGAGCTCCCCTGGAATGGACTGTCATGGAGGGGAACCAGTCACCAGCGGAGCTCCCATTTGACAGTCAATATCCAATGGCTAACCACATGAGCATATCACGCTGAGCCCTGCCCAGACTGGAGCTTTCTAAACACAATCAGTGATGAGGGGGCAGCGTTGTGTTGTTTGGGCTGTTGTTGTTGTTGTTGTTGCTTGAGACAGGGTCTCTCTGTAGCTCCAGCTGGCCTAGAACTCACATGTAGACCAGGCTGGCCTCCATGTCACTAAAATCCACCTGCCTCTGCTTCCTCATTGCTGAGATCAAAGGTGTGTGCCACCACATTTGGCTGATTGTTTGGGGTTTTTTTTTTTTTTAATTTTATGTGTATATGTGTATTGCCTGCATGTAGGTAAGTGCACCTGTGTGGTGCAATGCCCGCAGAGGTCAGAAGAGGCTGCTGGATCTCCTGGGACTGGAGTTATGGACAGTTGTTAGCTGTCATGTGGGTGCTGGGATTCTAACCCGGATCTTCTGCAAGAACAACCAGTGTTCTTAACCACTGAGCCATCTCTCCAGCCCCGTTTTGTTTTTGTTTTTGTTTTTGTTTTTTTTTAAGCTTTTTTTGATTGATTGATTTTTTTGTTATTTTGTCTTTTTTTTTTCTGGAGCTGAGGACCAAACCCAGGGCCTTGCGCTTGCTAGGCAAGCACTCAACCACTGAGCTAAATCCCCAACCCTGACTGATTGATTTTTATTTATTTATTGGTCTTTTTGAGACAGGATCTCCCTGTAGCCCCGGTTGGCCTTGAGCTCACAGAGATCCTCCTGCCTCTGCCTCCCGAATGATGGGATCAAAGGCGAGTACCACCATGCCCAGCTTATTTTATGTATATGAGTGTTTTGCCTGAATATATGTAAATGCATCTGTGTGTGCAAACCCATACAGAAGAGGCATCAGATTCCCTGTAACTGTAGTTACAGACAGCTGTTAGCCACCATATGGGTGCTGGGAACCAAACCAGGGTTTTCTGAGAGCAGCCAGTGCTCTTAACCGCCGAGCCATCTCTCCAGTCCTGTTTTTTTTGTATGTTTAAATGAGGAGGGGTCCTCAGTATGTTACCCAGGTTGGCCTTGAACTCCTGAGCTGAATGCTCCTCCAGCCTCAGCCTCCTGAGCACTGGGACTATAGGCCTGTACCATCATACCTGACCATATTGCTATTCTTTGCCAGTAAGTTTTGTGGTAATAAGTCTTGCAGTCATGCATAATGGGACAGGAAGGGTGGGGTCTCCCAGGAGGTGAAGTGTCAACAAAGATCTGAGGGGGCATGTATGAGGAGTGGAAGAGCCGTCTGCTCCACAGGACAGCCCTAGTCTCCACTCCTCCGCCCTCTTGAGCCTCACTGAAATAGTAGCAGGGACACTGGGAACTAGAGAACTGCTGACTCAGTATCACCTCATCAATCTGACAAAAGTTCAAACACCAGAGTGGGAATAGACTGCACCTCCAGGAAGCAGACTCACACCCCAGCAAGGCTGAGCATTCTAGAGCCCTCTAAAAGCAAAGGTATAAGGTGAGCTCAAAGAAGGAAAACTGGTAGAAAGTTTCTAAGAGAAGCAATTAAACTTCCAGACCCCACTTCCCCACCAATGCAGGCACCGCTCCCCCTCCCCAGAGAATATGGGGCCACTTCCCCAGAGGTCGGATGAACAGCTGGACTTAAGGACACAGGACCGAGGGGTCTGCAGTAAAGTGAGATGTCATGAAAGACTGCACACTGAGCCTGGCATGGTGGCACATGCCTTTTAATCCCAGCACTCAGGAGGCAGAGAGGCAGGAGGATCTCCGTGAGTTCAAGCCAGCCTGATACATAGCAAGTTCTAGGCCAAAAAGGGCTACATAGTTAGGCCCTGTTTCAGAGAGAGAGAGAGAGAGAGAGAGAGAGAGAGAGAGAGAAAACATGCAGGAACTGTCATCTGAGAATTCTGGGGGAGGCTTCAGCCGGTGGACGAGAACTTG